GAAAGAAAGAAAGAAAGAAAGAAAGAAAGAAAGAAAGAAAGAAAGAAAGAAAGAAAGAAAGAAAGAAAGAAAGAAAGAAAGAAAGAAAGAAGGAAAGAAAGAAAGAAAGAAAGAAAGAAAGAAAGAAAGAAAGAAAAAGCCCACTGGGCTGTTTTCTTTAATCTCATCATATCAAATGGATGGATTTTTTTCTTCCACCGAAGTAAATTATCACATAGACACAGTGAAATTCATTTGAACAAATTATTGAAAGTTTGTATTTTTTATCTTTGCTTTTTTTTCTTTAAAGATAATTTGTTTTCTTTTGCATGACACAAGACTTCTAGTTTCTAAACAGGGTATATAAAAAACAAAAATACCCCCCATGTCTCATCTTTATTTTCACCAATGCAAGAAATCCTTCTGGAATATCAGTACGTTATTAAATAGGTATCGAGCCACTGAATCTACAAGTTAATACATATTTTGTAATGGCAGAATAACTAAGAATTTACCCCAAAGAAAGATGTTAATTTTCCAAATATAAAAGGGTCTAAGATGATCATATGAGAACAAACAAAAATCTCTTATGCCAGGTTTTTTAGGCTAAAGATGGATAACACACTGGCAGCTGAAGAACGTTGAAACTATAAATCAATCCAAATTAAGAATTTCTACATTTCTTTAGAAAACAGAACCAGAATTTCTTTTTTAAAAATGACCCTGTGGAATGCCTTTGCTTCCATATTTACCTAATATTGTAACAGTAAAACAGACACAAGAACGTTGATGACAGCTCAACAATGCTGGATGCAGGACGTTTACATGTGCACTTTTGTTTAAAAGTCCAACAGGTTTATTGACTAAGGCTGGACAGCAAGTCATATGACCCTATTTGGTACTTTTTCTACAGTGTCCAAGATTATTATATGGATACAGCCAAAGACTGGGCCCAACTTTCATGAAAATGACCACAAAGAAGAAAATCAGGGTAGTTATTTAGTCCCCCTAGTTAATTGTTTGAACTGGAACAACAAAACGTGGAAAACACAGAATGTAATGAATTAAAGGAGTTGGAAAAAGTTGGTGGAGAGAATTATGCTATATGAGTAAGGTCATTGGATTTGGGATGTCAAGCACAGTGCAAAAAAGAGCATCCATGGGAACACGTATTTATAATGTCCTGTGGTATCACTCCCTCAATGACATTATGATAACTATATGCAATAATAAATAGATCAGTTATGCAACAATGCAGAGTGTCAAATATGCATTCGTCCTGTGGAATAAAACACCACAGAGATACTTGATACCACACACATTCTTTAAGTGCTCTTGTGTTGTGTCTGATTAGCTTGTTTTTCAAAGCCACCCAGGCAAACTCCTCCCAGGGATGTCCTTGGAGAGAAGAGTGGTCCACTGAGCCTGGTTTACTTAATATTTCCTTTATCAAGAGATGATAATTGACTTTAAAGAGAAATAAAGCTAAAGGTTGTATGATTTTGATTTTTTTTTCCTTTTCAGTTGCATCATTGAATGTTTTCATATAAACAACAACAACAAAAAATCACAACTAAACCCTCCCTCCTGCCCCCCAACCTAATAATTTTGATGCATCCAGTTGTATTTCTTGGAATCACACATCCTATCAGGATTTATCTTCAACCTGAGTGTATTCATCAGTGATAAAAGAATATTCAAAACCAACTAGAACATTGCTGCTACCCTTGATGCATTCAGCTATCGGGACTTCATGGTAGATATTTTATCTAATATAGTAGAACTATATTAACTTCTTTTCTGACTCCTCTTAACATACCCCACTGTCCCTCACTTACCCTAGTTTTATTGAAGTATAATTTATTGAGGTATATTTATTGAGATATAAATAAATCATATATATTTAAGATAAACAAAAAGATGATTTGCTATATGTATACATTGTGACATGATTACCACAAATAAGCTAATTAGCACATTGTCACCTCACATAATTACCTCTTTTGTGTGTGTGGTGAGAACCCTTAAAATCTAGGCCTTTAGCAGATTTCAAGTATACAATACAGTAGTATTAATTTTATTCACCATTCTGAACATTAGACCCCCAGAACCTATTCATCTTATTTTCTTAAAATATGTTTTTATTGATTTCAAAGAGAAAGGGAAAAGGAGATAGAGATAGAAACATCAATGATAAGAGAGAATCACTGATTGGCTGCCCCCTGCACACCCCACACTGGGGATCAAGCCTGCAACCCCGGGCATGTGCCCTGGCCAGGAATTGAACCACCACCTCCTGGTTCATAGGTTGATGCTCAACCATTGAGCAAAGCGACCAGGCTCATCTTATAACTGAAAATTTGTACCCTTGACAAACACCTCCACATTTCTCCCATCCCAAAGTACCTGGCAACCACCATTCTACTTCTGCTTCTGTTAAGTTTGACTTTTTAGATACTATTTATATGTGAGATTATACAGTATGTGTTAGACATACTCCCTTAAATACCTCCTCCCCTTTGAGGTCTGGAGGTCTTTATATTTTAGTTTAAGGACCGTCACCCAGTAAATCCTCTTGCTGTGGCCTCACTGAGTTTCTGGATTGTCCCACTCTACATAGTCCCTTTCAAATGACTCCATCTACCTTTCTTTAATTTCAGCCTAGGATACCTGTCCTCTGATTACCAGGAGGCTAACCTTGGAGGCTTGAGGACTAGTCATACCCTGCCCAAGTCCCAGCCCAGAGAGTGGAGTTGGTCATTTCTAAGAGCTGTAAACCTATACCTTTAATTATCAGGTTTTTTTTAGTGATGTGTGTGTGTGTGTGTGTGTGTGTGTGTGTGTGTGTGTGTGTGTGTATGTCCTGGGTTTAAGTGATAGCACAAATCCCAAATGACCTCAAGGTTAAACACAACTCACTCACAGTCTTGGTGACTTCGGTTATTCGGTACAATACAAACTGGTTGCCACTTTTGTTTCTATCATTGTATTTCTTCAGAGCTGCATCCACAGCCTTAAATACATCCTCATCATTGCAGTCAACTTCTTGTGGTTGGTCCTCTTGGGCGAAACTTGTTAGCAGCCTGGAACAAAGGAAAAGGATGGCAATTAACTTCATGATTTATCAGTCTCCCTCTGGGAGTTTCACCAAGAATTGGAAGCTAACTTGGAGGCTGATGTTAACCCTCTTCAGCCTCTTATCTCTTCTGTCTCTCCTCTCTCTGCCTTAGCACTTCAGGGTTCTGCTTGGCTTCCTGCTGCCCTCCACTATTTGCCCTATTACAAAAGAACAAATGGCTCTGCTGGATTATCTAAGCAGATCTCAGGCTGGAACATTACAACACTGGGTCATTGACCTGTTTGTTAGCAGTTGGGAGGCATGTGTGAGCACATTTCCAGGTAATTGCACAAGTTTGTATAGCAAATCAGAGTACAATCCAATAAAGGAGGAGAAAAAAAAAACATTAACCACCTGTTATTCCCTTTCCCAAATGACTTTCCCAAAGCTATTTATGAAGGTCACTGCATGTGACAACAATGCAACCATGAGCAGACACCTTTCAATAAAATTTCTTTTCACTCCTGCAGAGCACATGCACAGGGACATAGTGAGTGCAGGGAGTCTCACACAGGACATTGGCATGACTGAAAATAAAAAATGGGCATCCTATCTGGTCTCTGGCCAAACCAGCCTCCCTCCACTCAACTGGATCTGCTGTAGAAAGGAAAATGGTCCCCAGGGTGGAGGAGACAGGGGAGAAACTTAAAGAGAATGGTTTGATTGAAGCCTGTTTACTCTGTCCTTCCTTCTTGTTTCTGGTTTGGTGGACTTTATAGGGGTCTTTCATTCACCAAGCCTAAGTGACCTTTCAGATAAAGTAAGACTATTCAGGGAGAGGAAGGCTAGCGGTAGGTTGAAGATATGGGCTAGTAGATGTTTGCCTCAAGTCTTACCCTCTTCCCCCCAAGAAGATGTTTGACTTCTTTGTTTTTGGTGATCGGGTATCTAGCTCTGCAAGCAAATCTCCCTGAGAGTCCCTGGAAAAGAGGGATCAATGGAAGCTGAATGATGGCCTTGTAGCAGAGTGGCAGGAACATGAGCTTGGCATTAAGCCCAACCTTGATTCCAATCCAGCTCTGCTACTTAACTGTTATGTGATCCTGAGCAAATCAGGGTCATATAGCCTTTCTGAAGCTCCATTTCTCATCTGGAAAAGTGAGATATCATAATGTCTTATGAGGTTTTCTGAGGAGTAATGAGATAATATATGTGCAGAGCCTAGTAATTAGTTCATATAAATTATATCTAATATTAAGGCCGTTTGGTTAAGAATCCCTGACTTACTGAAGCAGTTTCAGATGTGTGATGATGGCAGAAGGTAGGTTCTAGTGTGTGTGTGGCAGGGCCAGGGGGTGGTGGGAGATGTAGGAAATGAAACTAAGGATGAAAAAGACTTGGGTAAGTCCTTAGACTTGGAAGAAAGAGGGACCCACAAAGATGGAGAAGCTGAGGACGGGAGAGGGAGGAGATGACTGATGTGCAAGATCCAGGAGAGTTGGAAAGGAGCACAGGGCTGATCAGGGTGGGTGTTTCAAGTGAAGATTCAGAAACAGGACTTGCCAGTGTATACAGGCGGCATAATAAAGAGGAAAGCATGTGACTTTGGAGGAGGCTGATTTGGGTGCTAATCCCAGGCCCAATTTACTGACTATAACAAACACATTTTAGCTATCATGTAATAAAACAAATCTAGAAAAGGAGCTATCAATTATATCTTGTCTAAATCTGTAGTAGAATGTAAGCTTACTAGAGTAGGGATTGTTTCTTACCCCATTATTCAGCTGCAGCAACTGTGTTTGCATGTTATAAATGCATTTAATGGTTAAGAACATCAATCCCATTTTTTTCCAGGTACTATTTTCAATAACTCAAGCAATATTTGTGAAAGTACTTTATAAATTAAAAAAAAAACACTAGTGAAATGCTTCTGTGAGTTATTGAGCTATGCATTTTTTTGGGGGGGGGATCTTCATGGATTTCACCTTTCTTTACTCTCTATCTAAGCAGCCAACCCTGTGTTCACGCCTCTGGAGGAATGTGATTCTGCAGAGCAAACATTTGGCTGGAGACTCCCTGATTGTTTACACCTGGTGACCATTCTGACTGGCTGTTGTACCTGCTCTGTTGGTCAGCGCTGGTGTCATTTAGGTTATTAAATATTATTAAATATTTTGGGTATCATCGTGTGGTTTCAAGAAATGACATCTAGTTGTACTCTATGGAGAAAAGGGAAATGGGCTGCCACCATCACCCTTTTTTACAAAAGGAAAATGTGGCCCAAAGAGGTTTAATGACTTTCTTAGTATCTCATAATCAATAAATTGTAGGACTGGGATTATAACCCAAATGGGCCTTCTTCAAAGTCACATGATTTTCTATTTATTATACTGCCTGAATCCATTGCCACATTCCAGTTTTATTAAGAAACTAGAGGCCCGATGCATGAAAATTCATGCACTGGAGGGGGGTCCCTCAGCCCGGCCTGCTCCCTCTCACAGTCCGGCAGCCCTCAGGGGCAGGAGGTGACCCGGCGATCAGGGGAAGGCGATGCCCCCATCACACCTCTGCTGATGCCACTGCCGGCAGCTCAAGCCTCAGCTGACCCTGGTTACCTGAGCCTCAGGCAGCCCTGGGCAGCTGGGCAGCTGCCATCCGAGGCTTGCCTGCGCCTCAGGCTGGCCCTGGGCAGCTGGGGGGCTGAGGGGACTGGGGGGCACCGCCTTGTGGCTGTGGGCACCGCCATCTTTGAGGGTGTGGCAGTCAATTAGCATATTCCCTCCTTATTGGCTGTGGGCACCACCATCTTTTCGACAGTGTGAGGGTCAATTAGCCTATTCCCTCTTTATTAAATAGGATAATTGACATTCATCACTGTATAAGTTTATGGTGTTTCACATGATGCTTTGATTTATATATCTTTTGAAGTGATTACAATAGGTTTAGTTAACATTGTCTCATATAGATATGATAAAAAGAAAAGTTTTCTTCTTGTGATGAGACCTCTTAGGATCTACTCTCTGAGCATCTTTCCTGTATATCATGCAGGAGTGTTAAGTATAGTCACTATTCTGTAAATTTCACCTTAGTCCTCACTTCTCTTAACACTGGAAGTTTGCACCTTTTGATCACCTTCCTCCAGGTCCTGTTTCTGAGTCTTCACTTGAAGCACCCACTGTGATCAGCCTTGGGCTCCTTTCCACTCCTCCTGGACCACGCACATCAGTCATCTCCCACCCTCAGCTTCTGCATCTTGTGGGTCCCTCTTTCTTCCCAGCCCAATACCTTACCCAAGTCTCTTTCACCCTTAGTTTTTTTTCTTTCTCTCCCTTCCCCCATTAGAATCTACCTGCTCCCACCACCAAACACCTGAACTGCTTCAATAAGTCAGATAGAGACAATCCAAAGTTTTATTAGCTTGAGTCTAAATGCTTGAATCTGGTTTGGGAAGAAGGAAAAAGAAAGAAAATTCAAATGTGACAAGAGTCCCCTGGCATCAAAAATGAATAAAGAAAACTTTCTGAGACTAGAAAAGCCCCTAACATGGGAGAAGATATGAGAAGAACAAAGGAGTCTGGGGGTCTAGGGGCAGAGGACACCTCTGCCATGATTTCTAGACATGTAGCCTAAAAGACAGCAAGATCTCAGAGGGAGATGAATATGGTATTCTTTGCAATCATGTTCATCAGTAGTCTTAGAGAGACTCCGGCACCCCCAGTTTGGTACAGAAGAAGCAGATACACTAGACCCAAAGAGTGATGTGAACAGGGTAGTAAGCATCCCTTAGTAGAGGGACCTGGTGAACCAGTAATGAAGAATCAGACCATCTCATGCCCACCACCCAAACATCTGGGACTATGTGAGACTCTTAAACTGTGGCATAACTTTGTGTGAAGAGCAGCAGGGTGGGAAACTCTAAGAAGGACTGAGGTTACGTTTTCTATTACCCCAGCAGGATGGCAACTTGAAATATAAATTAATGTTTTGAAATTAAAGTGATATTTCTGGGGCACTTGAATTTATGGTCATGATTCATGCCTATAAACTTCTTCGAAAATTATATCCTGAGCTTTGTTTGCTTTATAATTAAATTTAGAACTTATTTTTCCAAAATAAAGAGGATTTAGAGAACTAGAAATAATAAGTAGGAGAGAATTTGGATCACTTTTATAAGAACAATCCTTTATATGACAATACATACTTTCTTGGTGTGCCCAGCTACAGCATAAGTACTAAAAGAGGAATGATGCTAGAATTAAAGGAGTTTAACCCAGAAAGTAAAGAAATTCTGAGGATCAAAAATTTGTCTTGAGTGGTATAGTAGCCAGTGAGAGAATTAACTTTTGACTTGGGACACTGAGATTTTTTCCTCTCCTCTCCATTTTTCTTATTCTTCTCACATCATCTCCTTCCCTACCCACATTTTGTCCTATTCTGAATATGAAAGATTACAATAACTTATAATGTTGCACTTATCATTGGTTACATTTTATTTATGGTTATAATTCAGAACATTACTCATTTTTCAAGGATTTCAGATTTCTTTCTGGAAATGTCTCCAAAAAACTTTGAAACATGTGAAAATTCACTGTTGAACATCCCTGGACATAATTCAGAGGCTGATTGAGGGAAAGGCTGAATTTTTGGCTTTAGAGGATAGTTGTGGTTTGGCAATGAGAAGCTGGGGAAATTGGCTTCAGGAGGAGGAAGAACGTCACCTTTCTTTAGTGGAGGGAGTCGGTAAACATATCCAATTTGTCTCCATTTTAAGGGAAAGTGACCTTTGCCTGGACCTCTTTCTTCTGAGTGCCTATGTGGTGGGCCATGGCCCCAGTGATGGTGATCTTGGGGACCTTGCCTATGGGGTGGTGTGTCACAGGGTCCATGGTCATGAAAACCATGGCCATCAGGATGCTGTCCATGGGGATGGTGTCCGTGGGGATGGTGTCCATGGTGACGATGTCTATGGGGTTGGTGTCCATGAGGATGATGATCATGAGGATGATGTCCATGGGATTGGTGCTCACTGGAACTATGATTATGATGTGGTGCATGTGTGTCATTGATGTGAAAATGGAGGTGATGACATCTTGAAGGAGGCAGTGGTAAAGAAGCTCCTGCTTGAAGTGGTGGTCTCTCTGAGTGATTTTTGTCGTCCATAGGAGGTGGGCATCCAGGTTTATGTGGCTTATGGTGATGGAGGTTATCCCTGGATCTACTGTGTGTAAATGGAG